GCCCCCGCCTCCCCCGTCCCCCCGCCCTCCGCCTCCCCCCGCGGCGCGGCGCGCGCTCCCGGGCATCCACAAGGGAGCTCAGCCGCCTCGCCTGCCCTCCCCGCCGCCTCCACCTCCTCCTCTTCCACCTCCTCCGGCTCGGCGGGCGAGGACTCGTCCGGGGACATAAATAAATAAATAATTCCATTCACCCGGTGACAGCGAGGCGAACCGGCGGCGGCCGGCGGGGGACGGATCGCTGCAGCGCCCACCCTTTGCCGGAGACCAGGTAAAGTAAGTTACACCCCGGGAGGAAAGGAGCAGAGGACTGGGCGCCAGCGGAGAGGAAGGCGAGCGCTCATCCGTCACCCGAGCTGCCCGGGGAACCGCACGCGTGTGTGTAAATAATGGCCAACATGTGACACGCACGCCAAAGCCGTTAGCCGGCGAGCCCTTATATAGACAAAATTCCCCCAGGCGGCTGCCGGAGTAGAGTTCGCGTCACACGAGCGCGGACCTCAGCCGGGTGCAGCCTCGGGGCACGCGCGCGCGTCGGAGATGGGGGCCAGAGGGGCCCGGGGCGGCGAGCGCTCCGTGCGCCCGCGTGCTTCCGGCCAGGCGACGCCAAAGCCCCGAGCTTCTGCGCAGAGGCTCTGCCGGCGCGGTGCGCCCCCCCACCCTTACCCCACGAGTACCCCCGGCAGGTTTCCGCCTGGCGTGTGCCGCTTGCGCTTCTCAGCAGCATCCCGCCCCTGGCCCGCCAGCACCCCGGGGTGGCCTCGGCCGCAGGAGCTGGGGGTGGGAGGTTGGTGAGAGTGTGTGTACGGAGCATCTTCTCGTTTAGCAGATGGTGGGGGCTCGGAGAGGCAGGAAGGAGAGGACGAAATACCAGGGGGTTCGAGTTTTGTTCTTTTTCGGTCCACAGGTAGCGTGGCGGGGGCGAGGCCAGTCGGGGGCAGAAAAGGAGTGTGACTTGACGAGGGCGGAGGAGGGCCTGCGCCTCCCGGGCTCACGCTGGGTTTCCTGCGTGAGCTGCTGCGCCGCGCTGGGGGTGCCAGGCCCGGCCAGGTAGCGCGGGAGGCTGGCGAGGCTCCTCTTTCGCTGCTTCCTCCACCCCCATTTTCTCCCTTACTTCCGCAAAACGGGATTGCAGACTGCCTTGGCAGGGCTGGGGAGGGAATTTTGTGGTCTACGTCAGGGATGTTAAAATTACACACACACACACACACACACACACGGGAGAGGAAATGTGCGGTTTCTCTCAGCCTCTCCTTCCTGAAATAGTACTGAGTGGGGTAGTAGTACGAAAGCTAATATTTCGTGTCCTCCTTTCTTGGGTCTGTTAAGGGACGCAGCAGAGGAATAAAACCACGGGCAGTGGTGAGGGTGATGTGAAAAAGCCTGGAAACAGTGGGCACTAGGTGCCCTTTACTGGCACCTCATGCTTTATGACAATCTAAACTGGGAACTCGGGAGGGCTGCAAACTTTCAACAGACGCGTCGGCTTGAATGTGCTGTGTCATTGAAACCTCAAGAACTACGTGTGCATTTGGGGGAGAGTGGCTGAAAAATTAGAGCTGGGTGGTGGCTGCAGAGAATGATGAGGATTGAACAAGGTGACCCTTATTTGGCCCTGGTGAGGCAATCCTAGCTCCACTTTCTGCCTCTGACCACAGTGCATTTGAAGCAGTCTAAGTCAGCTGGCCTGAATGATCTCAGTAAAAGGGAAGGATTACCGTAAGCAACTCAGCGTGTTGCATAACAATTCATAAAGTCAGAAATTAGTTTTTGCAAAATTCATAGCAACAGTTTGCAATTAAGTACTGCTCCCCCCACCCCGGCTCGGACTGTTTTAATAATGGTAAGCGATCTGAAATTTTAACACCTTTCCCCCAGTGTCCTAGTTAGTTCACCTTCCTTT